GAAGAAGTGAAGCGTTTGCCTGCCAATTCGTTTTGCATCGTTCGAAACAAGTAGTAATCAGAAGGAGCAATGTCTGGTGAATACAGCGGGTGGGGTAAGACTTCCCAATTAGTTGTTTCCAAGTATTGTTTGACGACATTTGCAACATGTGGCCGAGCATTGTCATGAAGAAGAATTAACCGGTTGTGTTTTTCCCTCCATTCTTTCCGATCTTTGTCCAATGCTCGCTTCAATCGTATCAGTTGTAGTCGATTGCGATCTCCTGTGACTGTTTCACCCGGTTCCAGCAGCTCATAATACACGATACCCTTTTGATCCCACCAAACACAGAGCATTACCTTGAAACCATGAATATCTTCCTTTGCTTGCGATGGTCCTGGTACGCCGCGTCGAACGTATGATTTTTTTCGCTTTGGGTTATCGTAGTGGATCCACTTTTCATCGCCCGTAACAATTCGATCCAAAAATGACTTGCTTTTTTGTCTTGCGAGCAGCATTTCACAGATGGTAAAACGATTTTCAACATCTCTCGGTTTCAATTCGTGCGGCAACCAGTTTCCAAATTTTTGGATGAACCCTAATGCTTTTAAACGTTGTGAAATGGTTGCTTGAGTAACTCCCAATGATTTAGCGAGTTCTTCTTGCGTTTGGCATGGATCTTCATCGAGTAACAATTCCAATTCTTCATCTTCAAATTTTATCGGCTGGCCTGGACGCTCTTTGTCTTCCGTGTCAAAATCACCACTTCTGAATCTTCTTAACCATTTTTCACATACACTTATTGAAATTGAATATTTGGGATACGTTTCCGACAACAAACGATGACATTCAGAAGAACTTTTCTTTTGATTAAAGTACAAAAGCATTGCTTCCCGCAAATGCGGTTTTGTTGGAACGTAATTCGACATTTTAATCGTAATAAAAAAGTTGTGTGTGCAGAATTGTTTTCACATGACAGATCGAATTTAGTATATTTTTTGACGCTCTTTAAGATACAACAGCTTCCACTGCCCAAACAGTTGCATGTGTGATAGATATGAAGTTAGATACGAATCCTTACGTTTTAATTTATACTTCCAATAATTCATTTTTTTCGTATGTGAAAATTTTAATGGCTAAACACGTGTACCCCCAAAGGCAGAGCAATGCAAATCGATCAAATTTCAATATGGCGTATAACAATGGAACCGTAGGAACATCTTTCAAACTTCAAGAATAATAAAAAATCAGCTGAAAGAATATAAACAGAAAGAAAAAAAATGTGTTTCTTGTGACATTACAACGATTCGTGTGCATAGTTACTGTAAGATGACTATGGTATAGCGGATTAGTGCATGCGCTAAGAGTCGTATGGTCTTGAGTTCGAATCGATCTAAAAAAAAATTTAGCTTTATTTTGATCGTTTGTCTTGTTGTTTGTATTATTTCGGCTTATTTTTTATTATTTGATTTTTCTAGAATAAAAACAGCATATTAAATAGTCGCTTATTAAAGCAAAAATAGATGTTATTTTAAATATGAATTCATTGTAATTCATACAAACTATAACAACACATTTCATTGAGAGTGAATTGATGAAGATAAATTTTTTTTAAATGAAAAATACATTTTTGTTGAGATATTGATTATTTGACAGATACTCTGTACATTAGTTCACTGTTTGTGGAAAGGAAATATTTTTTGAGAATAATCGTGTAGAATAAAATATCTACATTCAAGCGAAGATTCATCTGAATTCAGGGAGTTTCATATAATGTATAATCTCATGTAAATTTCACTATTTAGTTTGAATATGTAACACATACCACTAAACCTAATTTGTTCAAATATTAAATTGAATTTGATTTTAGTTGATCATTTATGGTATAAGTTTTCTATGGCTATTCTATCTTTACAAAAATCACATTAAATATTTTTTATTAATTGAATACTGTAAATTCATTTTCAGGTCTTTTTCACTGATTATTTAAACATGATGTTCCATAAAATCTTACCAGTACTAGAGGATGAGCTTATTGAGATGCAATTTGAAGATTCCTCATCATAGCAATCGCAAATTGGGGCACACATCTCTTTGTCCCATGCATCTAGTTTTATTTGCATGCATACAGATTCATCACATTCTTCCACGCCTGGTGGAATTTCATAATTGCCATCATCATCATCATCGTCATAATATTCACAAATAAGTGGTTCTAATATATCGTTTTTTCCCGCATTTTTTTTAGACACAGCCTGCGTGGGGAGCTAGAAAATAAGTATCCACTATTAAATTAAAGATACTACAAATTTACATTCACTTTATTTTTTATCAAAAACTATAAGGCACACTAGAAACATCAATGCTTCTTCCCAATTTTGATATTTTTGGATAGATGCAATCACAAAATTATAATTTAAAATGTGCACTTCTCAAATTAATATATTCGTATAATTTATTCCAGACTAAATCGTTGCACCTGTAATATAATCGTCATCAATATGAATAAGACCAGGGACTTCATTTTAAAAATGACTAATAAAGGTCTACAATTGTGAAGGATTTATATACTCTTGAAAAATATCTGGACGCTATTTGCTTTCAGCCGATTGCGAATAAGATTTTATTTTTATTCAGGCTGTTGATCTGAATTTCAAAACTCAGCTCATACTCCTTTTCCATTTTTCGTCTCTATCTAGGCATGCAACAAATACAAAGTGTAATCAAGGCTATGTTTATTTAAAAAAAAAAAGAAAGAGCGTTTTGAAATTCAGACAACTCAGCGATATTTTGCAATTTGAAGTGCTGTTTAATTTTATTTCTTGTATCTGGTTGAACAAAAAATGTGTTGCATGATTTGACAATACAATATTTGTGTGAAATTTATATCATTTTGCTGCTTGCATGACTTTATTGTCGTATGTAAATGCATCATTTTTTAAAATAAGGATCACTATTCACTTACCTTAGGTGAACATATAAACCAGGAAGATGGTACTTACAGATTTCAACCCCTCACCATAGACATAATAATGAAAAAATAGGCAGACCGACTTTAATAAAGTTTAATTGTTTCCATTTCTATTTGATAACGTTTTGAATACATTGAAATACACAGTATGATCGAACAAAAAATCAGAACCAATAGAAATAAGAACTAATTTATTCTATGTATTAAAATAATTTTGTGTAAGATGCATAAAATAATAAGGTTGTCATTATTAGTCATTACTCAACTCGTAGAAATTTTTGGATTATACTTTGTGTTGAGATCGTATTTTGTAAGAACCACCTTGAATGTTTGCTTCTTCATATTAAAATACTTGGTTTCACCACAATTATTAAAATTAAAATACTGTCTTTTATATTACAGCTACAGCAATATATGTGCTTACAAAATTAAGAAACTCCTTTAAAAGTAAGATATTTTTATATTTATATTTTTTTTAGCTACAAACATAATTGCGGTGTTCACATTTCGGTTAGACTGTGGCACGAATTCACTATGACACGAATTTTCGATGAAGTTATTGCCTTTTGAAATTTTCAGTATAGGAGGTTAGGGTTGCATTCTTAGTTTTTTCCTAGCACGTCCAGGTTTTTTTTAAATGGGCCTTTTCTGAAAATCGAGAATCTCGACTCTTTTACGAAGTTGAAACTAAAGTGTCTCCGTAGTCTACAAGGATGTGCCTTTCCAACGCGGCATCAACCAATAAAATCGATTGACCTAGTGGAAAACTGTTCTCTGTTGAGATACCGATACGCACCCAAAGTTATTAAATTATTCAAGCTCTTTTTCGGCTAATAAATTTATTATAAATTACAATATAATTGGAATAAATATTTTTTTCTAAAATTATCGCAGCTCTTTTTGTCAGAAAAGAATGTGCAATAAATGTTATCTCTTATCAAATGAGAACTTGGGATATTCTGTATTATCATAAAAAAATTGACTTCAAGCTTTAAATCACTAGAAAGTAAATGGGATTCATATAAGCTAGAGTTGAAGAGAAGAATATTATAAATATTGTTTTTATTTAAGACTTAGAAATAGTCAGTGAATTTAGTGCCTATTATTAACAATTGAACGCTCTAGAATAAAAACAACTTATTGCTTACTCGCATATCGAAACGCGACTCAAAACGGTTGCATATCAAAGCG